ATTTCAGGCTTGAGATCTCTTGTAGGAACAATATGCACTTATGTATTGGGCACAGAAGCATCTGCAGAAATTGGATGATTTTGCTTCAACTTTCCCCGACACAAACTTGCTCCAAACTCTTCTGATTCTGAAGCCAAATTCCACCATACTTGTCTTGAGAAATTGTTTGTTTTCCAAGGAAAATATCAATAATTTAATATCAATATCAGTCAGCCACTTTCTTTGTGCTTCAGTATGTTTTCATACATTATTCCTTCTATCATCAATGTATCAGAAATGGCATCATATCTATCAGAAATGGCAGAAATCCTGAAAAATGTAGTACCGGTAGTAATAATGACTGTGACCTTACATTGATCTAAGCAAATGTTACTGGCAGGAAATGGGGAATTAGACGTCTATGCCTGACTCAACATTCTTACTCTATCAGTATTTCAGTCTTTCTGTTGTTTTCAGACAAAACAGGCACCAGACAATAACAATACTGTCATTTTAAGGCAACTTTAGTGAACTCTATTTCAACATGTGTTCCTCTTTTACAGAACTAAAACACTCTAAGTTTTAGTTCTTGAAATTATGATAAATGGGCAAAAATTAACACTGACATATGCATGAAAATATATCTAACATGAACGTGCAAAACTAAGTTATTAAATAAGTTTTAAAATAAGTTTTATATTAGTTACAGACATTACAAATTACAGCAAAATAACACTCCTTTACTTAGATATGGAGGGGCACTTTAACATGACCTTGCTCGGTGTTATTTGAGAGCTTCCCCATCTGATCCATCCTGTTTCTTATTATATTTAATAAGTCGAGGGGATTACCACTGGCTGCCTCTCACTCAGTTTCCAAATCTGGTCTAATCCCAGTCTAATCCAATAATGCTGCTGAGTGACTCATCTTGTAATCACAGAAAAGCACGAGGAAATTCCATCCACATGCATCTGGCCTTCAGCAATGGTATGCATGTGTTACCCTTGGCAGAGGGTATGGGGTTTCTTTTTCAAGTGCTTACCAGCACAAAACAGACCTATTATCCAGATCCAATCCTCTTCAACTTAAAACGTCTATATACCTGTAACACTACTTACAGGCCATCACTACATAAAAGGCAACGAGTGGGTGTTTCAAAGAAGTAATTTCAGATATTGAGTTGCCTGAACTTTTTTCATGAAAAGCTGTAACCGAACACCTGGTCCACTTATAGCCTGACTAAATCGCGCTCCTGGCGGCCGCCGTCCTAGGTTGCCGCCCTCCAGCCGAGAGCTTGTGTATACACAGGCTAGTCCACTTACAACCAGAGACACACCTTTCTGGATAAAACTGATACTTCCTTTAACTTTAAGGAAGCCTTATTAACCTGAATCTTATAGGACATAAGGGAAGTCAAAGGATCTTGAACAATGAAGTCGGTATTTTCACAGATCAGCCCATTCAGAAGAGCACAAAAAGAAATAATCTTTGAGGAAATCTCCTGGAATTACCTGTCAGTAGGTCATGCATATCAAGGTCTATAAAGATTTTGGAAGGCGACTTTAATGATAAGCACGGATCAAAGGTTTATTTTGCAGATTTATTCTGAGAGGCAGGTGGACTTTCTTTACGTAATGACATGAATTATGACACCTACGCCCTAATTTGAATTATATTACTGACAGGTGATATTC